CCAACATACATTTTGTTTTGGGCTTTTTTGAGTCTCTGAATCCCTTTCTTCTTTGTTTTCTCTTCGGTTCTATGTGTGGGCAACAGACATAAATTACCGGTGGGTGTCCTTGGGCCTCGGTTTGCAAGTACAGGGAGGGTCACTGTGGTGGCCGCTCGCCGGTAACGAGGACAACTGTTCTTGCTCAAATCTGCTGCTGCTGATCCGATTTCTGCTGTTGTTTGTTGTTTGCTGTTCAGGGAATGGTTCCAGATGTAGCTGTGGCGTCTTGTCTCCCGCTCTCGCTCGCTCTTTTGTCCTGTCACAACCTTCACTTGGTTGTTGCGGCAAAGACGAGAAAAGAATGGCTGAGAAGGGTCTGTGACTGTTGAGTCACTAATGAAGTGGGACTGGATGCAGGCCTAGCATGCACAGGGAAGATGTGCGATGGAGTGTTCTAGCCAAACCCAAATGACAACAGTCGAAGGCACCAAATGGCTCGAGTACCAGTCTTGCTCTTGGTCCTTGAGCTTCAGGAACAACTTGTACGCATGGATGCCCTTGTTGGTAAAGTCGTCGTCCCACATAACTTCAGCCAGTTTCATGCAGTGCTCTTTCACCGTCGAAGGAAGGCAAAAGTCCTGAGGTCCAGCAGTGCCCCATGCTGGAAAAGCCCAAACCTCTGGATCTACTCCATTTGCACCAAACACGGCTGTCAGGGGGATCTTTGTTGTGCTCCGGTCGTTCTCGTTGGTGTAGCAGTCATCTAGGATTCGTGGTCAACGCGAGAAACCATGTGGCCACCCACGAAGGTTTCACATTAAATTAAGAGCCCTGGTCTTTTGAATCAAGGGCGAAGGTAGTCCTTGTACTGTAGCTATAGAATGACTTTCGTGAGTTGCTCGGGATCCTTCCTGCGACGCCCGCAAGTTCCCAGCCGTGCCGAGCCAACAGTGATCCACGAAGTTGGGTGACAGCTAAAGCTGCAACCGTTGCGTAACAACGCCGCCGTGTCTACTTTCTGGTCTCCACGCCCTCCACAAAGAGAAACCACATGAACAAATGCTTGCTACCGAATATGGAATCCGGACACGCACCTGCAGCAATGACAGATCTACCAACCACAGCATCCAATAACAGGAGTAGAAATCCGACTACCACCAGTACGCAGAATCCGGAAAGTGACAGCGATTCGGCAGCCACTGGCGACAACATCTGCAATCATGAAATCACTTCTGCTACTGAAAACACTAGTGACAGGAAGATGACACCTGAAGAAAGGGCGCATGCAGAAGAAATACTACGGTTGACAGAAAATACTCAGTTGCAAGAACGTGATTCAAAAGACAGCCCAAAACCAATGACAAAAGACAGCAAAGAGGTAGACGACCGAAAACCAGCGACCAAAGAGAGTCGCCAGGTCCAAAAAGATGGCAAAAGCCAACACGACAACAGCAAGGGCAATGATACGATCAACATGGATTCTGCTTCTAGAGCTCTTGCAACTATCCTAGCAAGGTTTAACAACCCTCAACAAAGTGGTCAGCTCGCATTCCTGCCAAAGGAAATGCAGTCACAGATCAAAAGAGACCCGGCAGAAAAGATTGCAGTAGACAACAAAATGTCAGCAAACCCAAACTCCAAGGAAACAAGGCACAACAGCTCTACTTTTGCTGCTCTTTCGTCTGTGGAAGTTCGACTTAACAACCCAGGACTTTCCTTCTTGCCCCCAAAATCATCTGGACAGCACCGAAGTGGTATCGTTCCACCCACAGAACAAGGGCAAAATCTTGCCACATTTCCAACCATTGAAACCAACGCTGGTACTACTTCAGGCCGTCGTCCGTTGCTGACACAACAGCACCAGCAGCCACCTCGACCTGGAGCATACAGCAACGTCCCAGGAGAGTCCATGAGACGCACCCTTGTTCTCAACTTTAGCCTGCTATTTCGTCCTGCCATTGATGATGCTTCCACTGATGCCCCACATTCTGAACTTGCACCAACAGGCCAAGCATCTACTGCTACTGTGACAAACCAAGACTCAATGTTGCCTGCTAGTGAAACGAACAATCAGTTGCCGAAAGCAACATTGGTCATTGAAGATCCAGAAGAACATACAAGGCCATCAGCAGATCCAGTCGATCTACAACAGGTTCAATGCAGAGAACAACAGAAGAGGAAGCAGAGGCAGATATTTGTTCTCTTCTTTGTGATGTTGTTAATTGTGACGGCCGTCATTGTGGGAGCTGTCGCAGGAACCCAAAAGAAGGAGCCAGAGGTGGCTATCCTGCAGACAACTGAGGCCCCCACAGCTTATGGCTCCATGGAACCAACTGGAGTGCCATCCTCTGCTCCAACTGGAGTTCTAGATGTGCTGTTGGACAATCTTCCTGATACCACTTTGGCAAGCATCAACAATGGCAGTTCAACCCCTCAGTGGCAAGCATGGCAGTAGTTAGCCAATCACCAGAACATCACAAACTTGCCTGAATGGAGAAAGACATAATTGTTTGCTCTTGCTACCTTCTTCTATGCCTTTGAAGGAGAAAGATGGAACCCATTGATAAGGAGCCATGGATGGATGGATGACACTGTGGAAGAGTGTGACTGGTTCTCCAGTGGATTTGGATATTTCTTTCATGAAACATACTATCAAGTCCCAAATCCACTTCTAATTTTTTCATGCAATGACCACAGGCAGTTCACTTCTCTGAATCTGCAAGACCTCCTTCATTCTGGTCTTTCACCCTCTATTCCCTTGGAGATTACCCAATTAACTTCCGCTTCGTTTGGAACAAAACATCATTACGGCACCATTGTGGTCTCTGCTGCCAGCAGAATTAGACAAGATGACCTCATTGGGTATTTTGGATCTGTCTATCAACAGGTTGACCGGTCCCATTCCTTCTGAGTTTGTGCTCCTGACCTCATTGACGAGTCTTTACCTTTCGGAGAATCACTTGGCTCAAATTCCTTCTGAGCTCGTGCTCCTGACCTCATTGGCGATGCTTACAGTTTCTGAGAATGAGTTGGCTGGTCCAGTTCCTTCAGAGCTTTGGCTCCTGACATCATTGCAAGAGCTTGAACTGTCTGACAATCAGCTATCTGGCCAGATCCCATCTGAAATTGGTGCGATGACATCATTGACACGGCTGAGGCTTCATAACAATGGCTTGACAGGAACACTGCCCAGTCAACTAAATGCATCTATGGGGTTGAGACTGTATGGGAATGATTTCTCAGGAACTGTCCCAGGGCATCTCTGCTCTTTTTTAAGGTGTGATTGTTCCCAAAATGAAACTCCCCCTGTTTCCACCTGTGTTGGTCTCAAAGAAACCACACCTGATTGGCCTGGACGGTTTCCTACCAAGCCTGGATCTGTCATGCTGAATATCTTGACTGATTACTACCCAGAAGAAACATCATGGGTTTGGCAGAAGGAAACCAATGTAACTGGTGTTTTGGACATATTGGACTCAGGTGATCCACTGGTATTTCCAGAGCATTTTTACTCCTCTCTCTTCCCAGTGAACATTGACACAGCCTACAGACTGGTTGTGTCTGACAGTTGGAGTGATGGTGTCAAAAACCCTGGATGGATCACTCTGACAGCCACCAACCTAACAGTGTTGTATTCTTTGGTAGCTGGGGAGGCCTTCTTTGACATCACTATTGATGTTTTGGTTGGAGCAGATGGATCTTTTGATATCACCAATTTTACAACTTTGTGATTCTGTTACATATTTCTCCTGGTGAACCCATGTAGGCTCCTGTTCTCGATGCCTGTTGTTGCGTCTGTTGGATAAAAAAACTAATACTAAAAAGATACGTTAAGGAGCGAGGGGGGCGAAGCTAGGCAAAACAGTGGCTGCGGTGGTGGGTGGCTGTTGTGGTGGGCGTACGGGGAGAGCAATGAGGACGCGAGCAGGGCAAAAGAAAGGGGGCAGGGAAGGGGGGGCATGGAGGAAAACCAGGAAGGAGAAGGGAGCAAAATAGCCCTCAACTGGTTAGGGCCCTTGTGAATTTTGTTTGTCTGTTTGTCTGTTTGTCCGTTTGTGTGTCACAGTTTTTAGCCATAACCCTAATAGAAGTAGACTACCAAAAGAAAAACAGATGGCTGGCTAGCTAGCTAGGTCTACAGCTGCAGCCAGCTAGCCTGGCTTGCCTACGATGTAGCTACTGCCAATCAAAATCAAACTCGTTGAGGGCTCATGCCTTCGGCAGCCTGAATTGGATAGGTTCTGGTTGCACACGTCCTCATGTACAAACCTTGTTCATTTATTTGTATCTTTCCAAGATTTTGCTGCAATTGCAAATTTTTCCATTTTAGTGATGGCTGTAATCTCTTTGTCATCCGTTGTTGCCAGCGCTTTGACAGGAACACCAGCAGCAGCTGCAACATGCAGACGTATCGTTTGGTCCTGGCCACAAGTACCGGCAACTGGGTTGCTGGTGAAAAGTTCTGCCGGGACACTGTCCACAGCTGCAGCTGGTACATTTAGAGCAGTAGACAGCATAGCTAAAACAGATGGTGGAACATGGTAGCTGTTTCAATAGTTGTTCTTTATTCCGCTACAACATCCACAGCAGCAGCTGGTACAATTTCCACACAAACTGACTCATCTGCTGTTGGCGACAACACAAACAAACCAACAGCCACTCACACAAACAAACCAATGGCCGTCAACCACTCTTGCTAGCTAGCGGCCGTTGTCGTCGACGCAACTACTCAGCAGCGCCATTGTCGACAACAACCAAACAAACTGACTCATCGCTCTGACTCATCTGAGTGGTTGTCGACATCGGCAACCTCTCAAGCAACATCGTTCGATCCACTTGTTGTCCACGAACGACGAACGGCCGTCGTCGTCATCAACCACTCGTCCACCGACAACCACTCAGCTCGCGAGCAGCGCTGCTGTTGGCCATTGTCGTCGACAATCTCAGCAGCAGCCTGCGCAGCAACAACAATAAAAAAATATTCCCACAATCGTCTTGACAGAGGCAAGAAGCTAAGAGGACAGAATTGGAGGCATGGGTTGCAGCTGCAGCCTAGGCATTAGTATCCGATCTCTTGATTGGCTCTGACAACATCACAATGATGATGTTGTCAGTAAATCATTCATTCAACTCCCAACCACAACCACGAAGAAAAAACGCTACATGGCTCGATAGCCAGGCCTTGGACGATCAGCAAACTCATCATTCTCAGAGTCATTGTCGGTCGTATTGTTGCTTGGCTTGTTACCGGTAGCCGCTGCCACCGTCGTATTGTTGCTTGGCTTGTTAGCTACCAATGAAGCTCTGTTGTTGAGGGTAGCCACAGGCGCAGTGCTGGTGGTGGAAGGATGAGAGTTGGAGGCAGAGATCTTCAATGTGTCATTGCGGAGGGCTTGATTGTGCAGGTCAATCATTTCCAGGGCATGTTGTTGCATTGCTTCTGGCGCTGGGAAGCACCAATCAGTTCGCTTGATTCCTCGGATCTCCCAATCATCCCGGCACAAACCAAAGAAAGAGGTGTCATGGTAACGAACAAAGCAAGTCACCATGCCATTATCCAGTTGGCCTTCTTTCTTCTTTGGAACTTGGAAATGCATCACCTTGTTGCACAGATTGCAGATGTGAGCCGAATCACCACCACAAACAACACAAACCTTGGTTCTGTGCTTTGGAAGTCTTTTGACCGAATCCATATGAGCACAGAGTTTATCAAGTCTGCCACACAATCTGCCCTTTGCATCCTGAACATCCTGCGCTGACAATGTGGAAGTGGTGGAATGGCTGCTTGATGATGGAGTGGGTAGCTTTCGCTTGTTTGGTCTTGGTGTTGGAGACCGGCGATTCTGAGGCTGCTTTGTTGCCACTCGAAAGTTCTCATCACCAGCATACTTGCGAGTGGTTGGCGTGTATTGGCACATCTGCTTGGCAAGTTTTTCTCGGAATCGAAAGAAGTCAATGGGCTTATCAATCTTCCAAGCAGGATCAAGGTTTCCCTCCGCACACTCAAGGTACATGTCATACGCCACCACAATGGCTATTCCCTTAGCGTGGAGCATTGCAGAGTGCCAGTACTTCCAAGACCTGATTGCGGAAAGAGAATAACAAATGTTAGAGATAATAGAGTGAATTAGTTTGTCCATCAACAGAACTTACCTGTAGCAGAGTCGGCAGTTTTGAACCATGTGATCCAATCTGTCAATTGCTCCATATGTTTTCAAGTAGAGTTCCCTCGCTTCATTCATTTCAATTGCCCATTGTCTTTTCTGACAACCTCTTCCTCTTTCTTTGCTGTGTGCATAGAGGCCACAACTGTTAAGGGCATTAACAGTGGCAATGTTACAGGAAGAGGTGCTCTGAAAAGTACAGAACACAATATTAGTTCCAGCTGAACGAAGCTTCTTCGTCATGACAATGGGATTCTCAAATCTTGCCACCTTGGATCGAATAGAAACTGGTGTCTTCTCTTTTTGCATGTACTTGGATGGAACAGAGGAAGGAAGCCTGTCACGGCGACATGTCATTGTCATTCCAAAACCAATATTGCCGGCATACTCCAAGATGTTGTCCCCTGAGAAGTAATTATCCCATGTAATGTGAGGTAAATCTGAGAAGATTCCTTTGGGTTTGAATGGATCGTTCTCATCTGCTTCGCCATATCCAATAACAAGAGGCGTGATCTGATCCACAAGCATTCTTGCTTCAAGTTGACCTTCTGTGCAGTGCCAATCAGCAGGCTTCTTATGTAGCTTGTGCCGGTGGACGTAACCTCGCAGCCGGGTTCGATCAACATCAACAACCATGACAATCTGTCCACCTTTGGTGATGTGGGGCTTGTTTAAGATGAGAGACACGAGACCACTTCCAGCTTCACCATGACCATTGTGCCCCCAAGTTGTCTCATCTGCAGCCAAGTCGAGGCCTGCTTCTTTGGTCAATGCATTGCAATTATTAACCAGAGTCCGATAAATGAAGTCATACTTGTATGCTGGGTCATATCCTTCCTCCCCCTTCTTGGGAACCTCTTTGTTGTTGCACAGCTTGTACACTCTTTTCAGTTCAAGCCACCGGGTCTTGGACATTGTACCTGCAATGAAAGGACAGTACGCAGTGTTTCCCTCTTGGTTGTTGAAACGTCTCAGCATTGCTCCATTGGAGCCACCACGGACACCATCCATGCCAACAACTCCATCCCATCGAAGGAGTTCAGCTGGATTAGTGCACTTGTAATCATGACCGTATCCATTGCCCAATTCGAGTTCGCCCATTGCATAAAGGTTGGACCATCTCGACACAAAGTGATAATATCCTTTTCTTGGATCGCCAACAATTCCAGATTTGCTTGGATCACAGATTGGAAGGAGTAGTTGGTGGAAGAACAAAGCATCAGGTGTTCCATCCTCTTCAGACATTCTCTCCTTTGTTAGTCCCAATAGCTCCAGCTTTGCTCTGTCTAATGATCCCTTCCTTTCATCGGGAAACATATTCTCTCGTGTCGATCCACTTCTGAATGATGAAATATTTGGATCAGTGCAAGTCCAGCCGGCATAATGAAATTCATAGCCTCCAATCTCGCGCCGTCCACTGGAAGTATCAACTGGAACTGTTGCGCCTGTTAAGACTATGGTGAAGGTATGTCTTCCCACCATTCGCCTTGGCTACTGTGCTAGTGGGTTTTGCAAAGCGAGGTTGGTAGCTGAACTGTGACCATCCACCAGGATTGTCCACATTCGCAAATAATGGCTCACTCTTTTCCGTCTTGGCTTTGGTTGGCTTCCACTTGTCAGGAGGCACAGGACGATTCCAGTTTGGTGGAGCTCCTTCAATGACAGTATTAGAGATGAAAGGGTTCATTTCTACTGAAGATGCAATGAAATCAGTCTCATCGTGCAAGGCTGCCAAGTTTTCTTCTACATGAGCATTTCTTTCTACTGCAACATCTCGGATAATGGAAATGTTCCCTGGACCATCGCCTTCATCTTCTGATTCTGGATCACCTGCATTCTCTGCATACCGAGCTCTATCATACTCTTCTTCATAGCGTCCTGGATCAAATGCTACGCTCTCTGTCCCATTGGATTCATTTCCATTTCGCGAAGGTGTGGTTGTCATTTCTGAAACAGAGCAAGAATTTGGAGATCTACCAGTGGTAACACTGCGCAAAGGGGTGCTCTGTGACACCGACTGGCCTCTGCCATTGTTGCTTGCTCTAGTCGATGATCGAGGGGTAGAAGACGCAGCATTTTCCCTCCGATTGGGCGTCATTGTCAGTTGCTTTTCAATACTTTGAGCGAAAATATGAAAAAAAGTCCAGTCACGTTGATTCAGTACCGTTCTACCCGTGCGCCAAACAGCAATCTGGTAGCCGCCAAACCTCCCATACTAGCTATTCATGTACGTAGACCTAGATTGGCCCTGCGGGCCACCAACACAGGCAAAGAGAGGGTAGAGCAAGTTCTAAAAGAGGCGTCTATTGGTACCACATGAGCGGCTGGTGTGCAGTTGAGTGAGAGTCAACTCTAACCTAAAGTGGCTACAGTGTAGCCGATCTAGTGTGCGGCCGAGCCTAAACGATAGGCTACCTTGAGTTTCTAAATTCATCTAACTAGTTCGGGTCCCGAAAACGCTTAGACTGATTTGGTTTGAATTGATGGCAGCAATGAGGCCGACACACCGTTCACAATTGTGCGGTTCACCATGGGATGATTCGTTGGGGTGGGGCCAAAATCACTGTCAGGGTGAAAAGCAATCACATCCAATTTCTCGTTCTCCTCAGTTTCAAAGGCATGTGGGGAGTTGCGAGGAATGCAGAAGACCATACCGGTCTCAAGTTGGATCAAGGTAACATCACCCGAGACAGGATCAACTACACGACAGACCCCACTTCCATGAATCACCATGCCAGCTCGTGCTGATGGATGGGTATGCTGTGTCTGTTTGATGTTGTTGGGGAAGTGCAAGTGATTCAAGCAAGGGGATCCCATGACAACTGGCCCGATCAAAAGACTGTCCGTGCAGCCATCAATGTATGGTAGCATCCCCAGCAAACTTCCATCTCCTTCATCCTCCAATGGGCCGCCAACAGTAAACAGTGGAGCGACACGTGATGCGGGCGACGAGGCGATGAAGCCAGATCCCCCTGTCAGTTGGAATTTGCCGTGGCAAGCAAAATACATTCCACTGACCAGTGGCGTGCCGATTGTACGCCCGCTCTTCAAAGACCGTGTCAAGGTGGCCTCTCCAGAGTAGACATAACCAAACGTTGATCGAGTGCTGTCCGTCTCCTCCACTGACGCCTGCGCGGTCTCATTACTCCACGCTGATAAGACAAATGGTTCTGGGTCAGAGCTGCCATCATAGTGCACGTCAGCAGCGTTCTTTTCCAAATTTGACCACTTTACGAAGGGCTTGCTGTCAATCACCTTATCCGACATCATGCTGTGCGGTTTGTAGCAAAGGAATGTGACAAAGGCGAACTTTGCTCGAAGGACTGTGACGTTCTCGAATCCACATGCCTCCAAAGTCCCTAGGTACCAGCGCACCGACAGAGTTTCCAGGACGCCTTTCAGCTTGCTCCGTTTGGCATCAATAACGTCTCGTGGCACATTCTGTGGTGGAGCTTCTTTCCAGTCATAGTACAGCTCTCTGGTCACGTCATCTTGTTGCGTCTTTTCTGTCAACAGCAAAATGCCACCTGGTTTCAGAGTCTCGTAAATCTGGCAGAGGTAGTTTCTGCGATTTTGCTCCTCGACAATGAAGTGAAGAGTCCAATTGATGACGACAACATCCAAGTCGCCCTTGTCGAATCGAGAGGGAGGCTTTGGCGGCACCTTTGTACTGACCTCTGCAAGGAACAAATGATAGCTGTCCTTTGCCCACGTTCCGTTGCTCTGTTGTGTTGCCTCGTCTAGATTTTGCTCTGCCACCTTCAACATGCTGGCCGAAGTATCGTAGCCATACACGTTGCCGACGCCGAATTTCAGAAGTTCAATCATTGTGTACCCAATCGCGCACCCAACATCCACGGCATGAAGGTGCTTCAACGATTTCCTTCCAAAGTGCTTGGCAATGCACTCCAAACACGTTTGCACGACATTGACGTAGTCTGGAATGTGGCTTTTGGCCTCATTCCGGAATCGTCTTGCCACGGACTCATCAAAGGCCCAAGAACCGGGCGTTTTCTCCGTTAAACCAGGGTCCGCAGCTGACAAAGAAGAAGACAAGGGCTGATCACCATTCTCGACAACGGAGTCGCTTTTGTCGTGTGCTGCTTCGTCTTTGACGAATTCCACGTGATCGTACTTGGTCCAATGACGCCCTCCAACCCTTGCCGACCCCCACTTTCGTTCATTCCCAACCCCGGTGGTAACACATTCTTCTAGAGAGCGCATGCGGACAATGGTCTTGGCCGGTCGAACACAACGAAGAAAGTAGCGCAAGGGAGATGCCTGATACCGTCGATTGCCCGTGTACGTGAGCACATCGTCCGGCTTGGTGGGATGTCCCTGCATTGTGACCCTTGTAATAGCATTGTAGCCAATGGCCGAAAGCATGTTGCGCACCAACGATTCCGACGGTACCACGGCCAATCCGGTAAAGGAGACGTCACCCCCCGCCTTGTTGACAGCCGCCGACGGAGCCAATTCGAGCAACCCCGTGCAGGTCGAAATGGGAGATTCAATGCTCCGCTGAAAGCCCAACGTGTGGTATGTGGTATGGACCGATTCAATTACAATACAGGGAGCCACCCGTGCCATTTCGGTCAAGACCGCAATGGGGTCTTGAAAGCAATGCAGCACTCCCGCCACAACAATCACGTCAAACGATTCGTCTGGGCAAGACTGTAAAAACTCTTTGGCTTTGGCACAGACGACGCGAAACCGCTCCTCCTCGCTGCCATTACTGCCAGTAGCAGGCCACGTGGGAGCCGCATCCGTCAAGAGTTGTTGCATGCGTTCACAAAAATTGGCCTGCGGCTCGACACCCACCACTTGTCGGGCGCCATGGAACAAACACCAATGACACATGGCGCCCAAACAGGCTCCCAAATCGAGTACACGCTTTCCTTGGACCAGCGTGGGTGGTAAGAGCGCCGAACACTTGGCGACCAACGTGGTTTGGGTGACGGGATTGGCGATCCGTCGTTGCCGTTCGTCAGTGTCGGCAAATTGAGGAGCCGCCTCAAAGGCGGCAGCGGCCGCAGATGAGCCCCACGGATCGACGTGTTCCGTGGGAATGTTCATGGGTGGTTGGGAGGTGGTACAATTCAAAATCCAATCCTCCAACAATTCATCGACCGATTCGATACTAGATGCCCCATCATCTTTGTTGTTCGTTTTCTTCTTCCACCGCTGCAACTCCTCTTGTGACAAGTGTAAAAGCGACGTTTCCCCACTGCTCAATCGCACGACGGAGCCATTCGCCAAGGGCACCAATCCGAGAATGCGTTCGACACGATTTTGTTGCATGTGCGGCAATTCAAATGTCAGAGATCCCATTTTACACTTGTGTTGTCGATACTCATTGTCGTCATGAAATTGGTAAATGAATTCCTTCAAGGGTTGCTTGTACGTTTTCCAATCTTGCAGATTGGGGAATTTGGTGGCATGATTTTCTGGAATGCACGCCCAACATTCCAAATCTCGATCTTGATAAAAATGATGAATGGCGCCGGTCATATTGTTGTTGTTGGTGTTGATATTGACATTGACTTGATTGTCATAATAATAATCCCCTCCATCATGAAGACACCGTAACGCAACCGTTTGCCATTTGGCGGAATAATTGAGCCACCACAAGAAATCATACAGTGTCACGATAGGAATGGGCGATTGTTCCAATTGGGGGCGGATCCATTCGTCCCACCCTGTAGTACTTCCAAGCAATCCTCGTTCTTGCAAGACGGGCCACAGGGCTTGTGCCCACGGTGTTTGGAGCGGCGGCAATACGACGACAGGATCACCTCCACAACACGCGCGTTCGTCGGGTGTCAATTGATCGTCGACGCGTGCAGAATCAAAGGCCGCCCGACACCGATCGGATCCAAACAATTGATCTCCCAATTCTCCCGTGACAAGAATGGATGCTTGGGAGTCGGCGTATAGTTGCGCTAGTTCCGACAAGGTTTTGTTGTGCCGTAAAATACAGCTCAATTTTCCTTGAATGTGCTGTGCATAAAAGGATGGATTTTCTTGAATGGATTCATCATCGTGCAGAATGGAAATCGAACGAGTATTGTTGTTGTTTGGGCGTGTCTGCAAGAGCGCCACAAGGACAGCCGTGGAATCAATGCCTCCCGACCAACAGACAATCAGTGGTTGTTGGAGAGACCACAACTGCCGTGCTCGTCGCAGTAAGGTTTCCTGCAATGCAGACTGGGGTGACTGGTTGTGCTGCTGACCAAGAGATGCTTGGTACGTGTCAATTTCTGTTTGTGTGGGTGGTGGTGGCACGACCAGCCGTGTCTTGACACTACTCTTCCACGTCCTGGTCCGATCAATGAGTGGGACTCCAAAAAAGAGAGAAAGACAAAATAGTTTGTCCACCGATAGCAATATCATGGTGGCAATGGACAAGGCTTCCGCTGGATGGCAATCTCGCAGGCGTCCTGTATTGATAGAATCATTGCTATTGGATGGTTGTTGAATGGATTGTGCCAGTAGTAGAATGGGCAAGGCAGGTGCATACGTGATGAATTGGAGTGGATTGTCTCCCAATAATAGACATGGCTTGTTGGACTGTTGCTGTTTCTTGCTTTTACTACTAGTGTGGTGGTTGCTATTGTTCTTTTGTACTTGTAAAAGTGCCTTCCATTCTTGGTAGAGTACTTGATCCCGTCGTTCCCATCGTTCTCCCACTCTCGTCACGACTTTGTCAGCGGATGGTTTGTCATGCCGTACAAGCACATGATGAATCTTGCGCGGCCAAATGGCAATCCCCGGTGGGTGCCATACACTACTACTACTAGAGTTGTTGACATCAAAAAAGTTGCAGTCTTCATGAGTGACGGGTCCCAACAAGTTCCAATGCGGTCCACAAATCAATCCCTTGGCCATGGGCCATGAAATCCGACCACAGGCAATGGCATCGAGCGGTGTTGGCCACGTACACGATGTCACCATACATTGAGCCAATCGACAGACACAACTCCAACAATTGTCGTCCTGTGTCGTTATTAGTTCCAGTATGAGTGGCGAGTACGGATTGAGGACCAACCGGCGTTGTCCACCGGCACTGTACGGATGAATCGTTACCAGACACGACGGACTGGTCGATGGGTCCAATGATCGATTGCCAGCGGGATACATGGTGCGGACCAAAACTGGCATATCCAAAACATCTTGTAATCGACATGCCAATGCATGGATCTTATTATTGTCATTGTCATTATGATGATTTGACCTGGTTCTTCTTGCAAAGAGACCCATCGTTGATTTTTGATTATTGTTTGTTTGTTGGTTGTTGTGTGAAGAGATCACATGACAGTACACCAAGCCAAAAAGCTCTGACTCTCTCCTCTACTAGCTAGCTAGTAAGGTATTCGTCTTCTTCCTTGTCGTGACAATCACAACTACGACAGGAATTGAATGAAGAGGATCAAGAGGTCCTGATGAAGGGCGCCATGCGCCATGCTGATGAAGCAAGTCTCAGGTCACGCGCGAGGTTTCGGAACAGATCCAACAGAACTCTTTTCTTTTGGAAAAGATTCAGAAAATGAGGATTCGATTCGATTCGATTCGATTCGATTCGATATACAGTAACCCATCAAGGCTGTAAAGGTTTATGCGTCTCTGCTACGGGATGTTTCTTCATCGTGTTGTCCATCATCAGAGTGACAGTCCATCCAAGTGCATGGATGGATGGATGGATGGATGGATGGACCATTCTCTGTTTATTACCGTACTAACTAACTAACCAACAGCACCATCGGTAACTTGCAACCATGCCATGGTTACAGATGCATCGTTTGTTCGTAGCTACCTAGCTAGCTAGCTGTCGTACCGTACAGCTAGCTCCTTTAGGCAGCCCCCCTCGTGTTGCTTGGAAAAAGAAGCATCCATTATTGCGTCGCTGCCTGCCTCGAGTCGAGTCAAGTCAGTCGAGAGATCGAGACCAAAGATAGCTAACCAACATGCTGGATCCGCCCTTTTTCAGCACCAGGAATTCTTAGCATGCATGATCCTGAAGCAACGCTGGATGGACTTGCAAAAACCAGCCAACGTCCATCCCTTGACAGCACTTTCCTTCATTCAGGCCCACAGTACTAGCACCCGCCAAGAAGCAAGTTGAAGTACCTACCAGCGACGTAGCCAGTTGAAGAGGGTTGCAGCTGATCTTTTCCTTCGACTGACTCCCTCAAGGATCAAAACTCGGAGAAGCCATGATTTTAGTCTACTCTCGAGATTGTTTTGAATCGAATCGCCCCCCCTTCAATGAAATGCCTCTAAAAATAGGGTCGACGTCGTTGACCTAAAGCATTGAACGACAGAAAAGGGTCGTGCACGATTTCCCTGTCTCTCCCAGGACCTCGATCGAGAGAGCCCAAATATATTATGAGCAAGACCACATGCGACAGTCCACCTGAGCCGAGCCGGGTCGAGTCGAGTTCTCGGCCGTGAGTTCGGGCAAGTGGGATTTCCAGTAAGCAAAACCAGCCCGGCTGTGAACTGTTGTCGCTCCCCATGACTTGGCGTGGTGGCCTGCCCTATGCACTACCTCCACCCCTGGCAAACGGCCACTCTAACCCATAGTGCAGTCTAGTCTTAGCTACGGCTAATCAGCGCTCATCGTGCTGAGATCAAGAGCGATCAAAGGAAACCATCCTTCAATCTCAAGAGCGTTGGGTACCGGAGCCTTGAAATCCAAGATGTAGGCACAAACAATTTGTTTAACCTCGGTTATTTTACTATTGAGACAGCCGGCGCTCATCACCTTTGTGGAGCAGCAGCCTTGGCTTCTCGGATCGTATTATATATATAGATACCATGCAAGAGGAAGCTCGATTTGTAATCCTACTAGAAAGCACCAGCCATATCCTTGTCTCCCGTGGCCATAACATCAGTAACACAATCTTCCAAGTCCCAAGATGAGGCATGGATGCACGCCTTGATGGCTGCCTCTCGACTAATGGATCCTTCTCCAAGGCGGCGCTTCGTGGCTTGCTCGGGTGTTGGCATGGTGCAGTGATCGGGGTACTGGGGTGTATCCTTATCCACATTGTGGAAGAGCATTGGTTCGTCATCCCTCACCTGCCACTCATTGCCAAACTCATTAGGGTCCTCAATAATAGTCATGCCATTACGAGCCATCATGAGTCCATCCACATAGGTTCCCAAGAGACCCATGCTGGTTCCAAAGCTCTCTTCTGTGTGGTGTACGAGATCAACTTTCAAGAAATCCTTGACAGATCTCAAAACAATCTCCTGGCCATTCTCAAGGAAAATCTTGAACTGGAACTGGTTCTCATTGCGAACGCGGAAGCGGACAGCATGGCCACCAATCGTGAATGGCATGACATGGCTTTGCTTCACCATTGGGCCGGCTTCTCCGTTCACCCAGTACCTCTTCTGTTCCACACCTCCCATCACTTCAAGGGTATCATTGCCAATCTGAACAACAACCTGTTCGACATAGGACCACCACTTGACAATCTTTGTGCGGATGTGAATTTTCATTCCTTGGCCATTGTTGTAGTCAGGGTTATCCAGGAATACAAGGTCACAGGCACCACTGTTTTAACAAGGACAGATTCATAGGGTAAGATGACACAATGGGGGGTAGTGAAAGGACCAAAGATGGAAGCAAGGCAGTTACTTACTGGAACTGGTTTCAGAAGGACATTCAAAGAAACCCAAAAAGCGAATCGTACTGAGGGATCCGAGAGCGGCCAAGGAATTCACAACGCACGCAACATATTGTCACCAAACTTACATCATACTTTCGATGGGAAGTTCCAAACATCTATGCGCCGGGACAAGAAAGAAAGTTAGAACACAGAAATTCCATAGAGCAACGTGAGTGAAGCTCTTTGCAATCTTGAGATGTGGATTTGTTACCGCAAAATGTGGATCGCCCGAAACCGAGGGCTTCGTAGGCGAGGGGTCACTTGGCTTCGTGGGCCCGGGTTCCGTGGGCTTGGGTTCGGTGGGCTCCGGCTCCGTGGGCTCCGGCTCCGTGGGCTGGGGTTCCGTGGGCTTCGGCTCCGGCTTGTCCCTGGTTCAGCACAAGTCAATTTGTGATGAGTAAGGGATGAGTAATAGGTACCCAATGGTTTGATCAAGAGCCGCACGGTGAAACAACTTACCCATCACCGTAGCACTTTTGATCTGGACAGCACACTTGGCATCGGTCATTGGTCTTGCATCCTGGAAAATCGGGTGTATCAGCTCCCATCAGGACATCCGAATTCTTGTTCTTGGATGGATCGTTATGCTTTGGGTTGTTGATGTGGCCACCCAAAGACCCAGGGTTGTCGGACGCCGCATCATCAGCCACCTCAATGATCACATATGGATTGGTTGGGCTGGCAGTGCCATGACAAATCTTGACTTTCTGTTGGTCCTTCTTGGGGCCCTTGTCGCCGCCTCCTCCGGTTTCTTTGCCATCGTCGTCCTCCTTCTTGAGGTTCCTGTTCAGCAAATCCACAACATCAGCGTTCAAAGCCGAAGTGCCATCATCGACCTTGCCACGAAGACTTTCCCCTTGGTCCGACTTTGCTACGGAAACTGCTAAGGTAAGCGACACCAAAAGAACAACTCGGAGGATCTTCATCTTTCTTCTTTCTTCTCTCCCAAACTGAGATTATGGCAACGATTCGATTTATGCGGTCCTGTCCACTGTCGAGAGGGTTGCTTAAATTGTGAGCAGCGACAACGCTTTAGAAGCTGGCGTGTTAGAGAGACTTAAGCATCAAAGAGATCAAAGCAATTACGAAAGATACATAGGGAAAATCATACTGTACGTATTATGAGCTTCTCATTTAAAAATAATTATAATAATGCATTTTAACAATTGATAAGGGATAAATCAAACAAATTCAATACTGGGGTACCCTTCACCAAACTTCTGTTTCTCTCCGTGTAAAATTTCGGTTGTATCATGAGAGAAGATTAGAACATTAAATTACAATAATTGAATAAAATAAATCAAGCAAATTCAATAACCGTTTGCACAATACCAGATGCTTCGAGGGAATCAAAAGAAATAGGAGGCTCATCATATCTTTCGCTATGATCCAGGAAAGCAGTGTGTAAAGGCTGCCGGCTGCCGGCAGCTAATCATTGCTGCTCTCTAGCTAGCTAGCAAGCTACCGAAAAGGATTGAGTGACAGTCAGATTGATGCAAGACGCAAGATCGAGGAACTGGTCAGGAGGTTGCAGTCGGAGAAGAGAGCTGAAGTGAAGTTCGCTCCGGCCCAGCCGCCCTGAACCCCGGCAGAACTAAACCAGACCAGGCCAATCCTGGCACGAAACACCAAAACACCAAAACACCAAACACCATCGGCAGCCCCACAGCAGATGACAGAGAACAAAGTTGTGTGGCTATTTTACGACGCAAGACTGTCGGAGCTCGTCGTTTCGGAGCTGCCTGTCTTATCGGGTCCACACCATCGTAAATGGCATTCGCCATAACCATGCTAGAAGGCACCAGCCATTTCAACATCTCCAGTGCCAATGATGTCTGTAACACAATCTTCCAAGTCCCAAGATGAGGCATGGGAACAGGCCTTGATGGTGGCCTCTTGACTAATGGATCCTTCTCCAAGGCGGCGCTTCATGGCTTGATCGGGTGTTGGCATTGTGCAGTGATCGGGGTACTGGGGCGTATCCTTATCCACATTGTGGAAGAGCATTGGTTCATCATCCCTCACCTGTCACTCATTGCCAAACTCATTAGGGTCTTCAATAATAGTCATGCCATTACGAGCCATCATGAGTCCATCCACATAGGTTCCCAGGAGACCCATGCTGGTTCCAAAGCTCTCTTCTGTGTGGTGGAGGAGATCCACTTTCAAGAAATCCTTGACAGATCTCAAAACAATCTCCTGACTATTCTCGAGGAAAATCTTGAACTGGAACTGGCTCTTACTGTGAATGCGGAAGCGGACAGCATGGCCACCAATCGTGAATGGCATGACATGACTATCCTTCACCTTTGGGCCCAGTTTTCCATTCACCCAGTACCTCTTCTGTTCCACACCTCCCATCACTTCAAGGGTATCATTGCCAATCTGAACAACAACCGTTCGACATAGGACCACCACTTGACAATCTTGTGCGGATATGAATTTTCATTCCTTGGCCATTGTTGTAGTCAGGGTTATCCAGGAAAACAAGATCACAGGCGCCACTTTATTAGAAAGGAAAGATTCATTTGGTTAGATGACAGGACGGCAAACAGTATCAAGGATGGAATCCATTACAGCTACTTACTGGAACTGGGTTTGAGAGAAAAGGCGGCACAAGAAGTGAAAATGTCATCACGAGAGGATCCAGTGAGGTCAGCAAGACGATGAACATGCCAAAAACTTAGACTCTCAAATGATCAACTCACGTCATACTTTCGATGGGAAGTTCGAGACATCTACCGATATGCATGGAAAACAAGGGACGTTAGAACTTGAAAGTGCAGAAGGCGACACATTCACTTGAAATTTACCGCAAAGTGGGGGTCGCCCGAAACGGAAGGTTTCGAGTCATCGTTTCCGTTGTCATCGTCACCCGTTGTCTTGTCTGTATTCACGCCAGTGTCACAAAGCTCGACCATGTTGTCACCTTTGATTCCACAGCAGAATGTGCCCTTGCCTTTGCAGTCCGTTGGATCTTTCAAGCCAGGAATCAACTCAATGTAGGACGTGTTAAACGTTCTTGTCTGGCAATACACGTCTTGATCATGCTTGACTGGTTCACAAAGGTCTACTGCATCAGTGGAACCATCCTTGTATCCACAGCAAAATGTTGTACCTTCACTGGCCTCCTTGGCTTGGCATTCCTTAGGATCCGAGATATCCGGGAATGATACAGCATAGGAAGTACCCTTTCCGTTCCAATCACAAGCACTAGTCTGGCAGGTAACTCCGCTGTCCTGAGTCTCATCTGGTACTCACACAAGTCCTCTTCATTCTTAAAATTATGGTTCATAAAACAGCAGTATCCTTTATCGATGCATTTCTGTTTCGATTTTTCTTTTGAACCTGTATGCATCATCGTCCAGCTTTGTTGGTTGCCACAAGCAGAAGCAAGTGATGAGGGTGAAACTGCTGCGAACTAACCTAATTATCCCTTGAGATCGCCCGAAACGAAGTCGCCGACATTGCCCTTGACTCCAGTTGATCTGGTGTTACAAGGATTCTCGGCACACCTTCAAGAGTTCCAAGAGATTGTCCAGAGAAAATCGTTAGGGTTGGCTTTCGAAAAGGCACATTACAAAGATGCGGGTATGAAAGAAACAAAATTAGTATGCTCGCCAATAGCCTTCGAGGCCGAGACGCCTCTCCTCCTGAGCCGACGTCTCTGCAGCTACTTTGCCAAGCTAGAGCCAGAGAACAACGCCAAGTAGCTTCATGGTTCTTCTTCTTCTTGGATCTTCAACGTTGTGTGCTTTGGTGAGTGCCGTCAAGGAGCAGAGAGAAAGTAGTATTTGAAGTGACAACTGACTGAGAGAGATCAGAAGGGAGGCCAAATTATGATCACGTGTTCTGGGCTGCAGTGGGAGCCAATGTGCAAAAATTGATTCAGGATGCAGCCAGAAGTCAGAGAATTTTCAAAGGATATTTATCTGGCGGGAGGAAAAGATTTATGATCAACCATCTGGTACCGGTACTGGAAATCTCCTCGAGATGCAGTCTACTCTGAGGAGCTACTAGCTAGTACCGGTATCCGCGCCAGAACTAAAGAGAGCCTGTAGTTACCGGTAGCCAGTTCTCGTTGCCACACGCCACACCGATGGCAACTACCAGGTACACAGTGTACGACGTAAAGTCCAGTAGCCCTTCTCCGCCCTGTCTTGTCAAGCCAAGCGGTTTGTGTTTTTGTTAGTTGTTAATTTGTTTTTCTTTATTATTATAGTAAAAGAGTACCAGAGAGCAGAAGACTATTAATACTGCAGGGTGCAGAAACGAGCTTCAGAGGAGAACTGTTATTTAACGGGCTGCGTGAAACTAGCCGCTGCGTGAAACTGCCGCTGCGTGAAACTACCCACTAGTATTGGCTACAGTAATTTCACGCAGTCTGCTAGCAGCGGTAGCGGTAGCTACTAGCTAGAATATCAATAGTCGCAACCAAAGTCTCATGGCTGATGATGCACAACCCGTACATGTATGTGCTACACTGAAAGGCAATACCGTACGATGCATTGAGATGAGACGTTTTCCTTTTACAAATAGCCAATGCGCCCGCCTTCACGTTGCTTACTGTACCCCTCCAGCTAGCTAGGGCTGCGTTTTGCCACCTACCGAACAACCACTTCTACTGTAGGATCCATTTCGCCTTGCCACAGAGGATGCCGATGCTTTTATGGTTAATCTCAAGGGTCCTCCATCATAGCCGGTGCGTGTCCCGTAAGTGTTCGTACGAGACATCATCAATACTCTAATATCCGGCGATGCTCGCATGCCCCGTGGTGATCGTATGAGACATCATTGATACTCTGTCCAGTGACGAAACCAAAACACCATATCGCATGTGCAGCACGGTCCTCGATAACGTTTAGTGAACGAGATTTCTGGCAAATTGACCCCACAAGCCACTCGTGTACCTTCAAGATTGCCGGGCGTTCTTCCTCCTCGTCCTCTTCTTCTGTGGTAGAATTGAAACTATCCGAGTCGAGTCGTCCAATCCAGCGTCTGTGCCTTCCTTGCCCTTGTCCGCACATGTACATTGTATCGTCATCAGCAGCGGCATGCTCCGCCAAAAGCAAGATGCAATAGTGTTGATCGTGTTCGTGTTTGACATCATCCAGTAGCTCGACGATCACCATCGCCAGCAGCAACGACGACATGGCCGGACAGACACCTGCTAGCGAGCACATTTTTGGGGGGCTGCTCCTGTCATGCATACAAATAGATCACCCGCATCAATCGACTACAGTTCGTACATGTTTGTCATGAAAGCTGTGCGCCGCACTGGCTGAGACCACGGCATCATCTACTGTACCGGTACTCATCATCTTGTTGCGACGACGAGTGCGGCTGATCGTGTGAATCGAATCCAGTCAATCGATAGAACGACAATGAGAAAGGTAG